GTTTTCGTTGGAAAAAAAAAAAAAGTCAAAATTATATGATAATTGTATATATTATAATATCTAGGATATTGTTCCATTAAACGATATAGATTTTGAAGCTACACGATCAGGTATGCTATGTATATGTTCTATATACAATATATAAACATCACATATACGGTCATGAAAACAACTACAAAATTGCAGCCGATTTTGAATAGACAGTATATATTGCGTTTATAGTTAGTATATAGTCAGTATATAACCCGATTTTTTATTTGTATAGCATTTTTATCTAACAAGTCTGATGTTTGAATTTTTGTTCAGTATATAACCTATCATATACATGTCATAAACTGGTAATAACCATTATTTTAATAAATTATTTTAGTATATATAGAGTATATGATAAACAAATGAAGAACGGGCCAGATGAGAAACATACGAAGCAACATATACTAAACATATACTGCATATACCAGCAACATATACCGACGTTTGTGAGTTTATGATAAATAAATATGATCCCATCCATAAAGCCATTAAAAAGCTCGAAACTCCCATTTTAATCGATTTCCTTTACGCCATTAAAAATCTCCAGGTTAAACTCGTATTCATCTTTCATCATTTACATTTTCTTTCGTGTGCGAACCATTATAATTGATTTTCAACCTTTTTCTGTGTTCTTGATTACTGGTCTTCTTTCATATAGATCGTGAACCCGTGCTGAGACTTCGAAAAAAGTTTGGATCTTGACTGCCTTAGACTGAAGAACATCTGTTGAAAAGCACAATCTTTGTTGCATTCTTCATCAAATTCAACCTAATTTTCTTTTAATAGGTTGAATATCCCAGTTTGGAGTCCGCCATCAAAATCTCCCCAACTGCCGAAAATCGTCGCTCGAGAATTTAATATCCCTGTTTGGAGAAAAAAGACCAGGCTTCGGGGAGAAAAAAAAAAAGAAAAAAGAAGAATTAAGGTCGCCTTACTCCCGGTGGGTATGCCAATCAATCGATCCGCCGACTCCGCGCTCATCCAAGCGTGGGTCGCCCGTATTTGAATGATAAGAAAAAAAAAATAGATAAAAATTTCAACTGTAGGAGGAGATAAAAATTTAAGCGTAAAGTTGAAGAAGAAGAAGAAGAAGAAGAAGAAGAAGAAGAAGAAGAGGAGGGGAGAGAGAGAGGGAGAGAAAAAGTCCCGTGATTAGATTTTGGGAAGTTGTTAAGTTTTTTATTAATTACGTCTGTAATTTTGTAAATAAAAAAAGTTCAGCTAGTTGAATTGCTATTATTTATAACTAGGTTTCATTTATGTAATAAAAAATTATATTTACGTTACATGGTACAAATTTCTCATCTTTCAACATATCGATACTGGACATATATTATTGGATCGACATGGATCAATCGTCTGGGCTACGGCCCATACATACAATCACTGACAAAATTGAACGGTTTTAAATGGGAAAAATTGTTGGGTTCGCTAGTACCGTACGGGCTTTAAGCAGCGGAATTTAAAATTTTTCAAAGTAAGTATTTATCGTATAAATACAACACCCGTATATACTAATTGCGAATTAACTGATCGTCATCTTTAAAACATGCATCATATACAAATTTTGATTTGTTATATAAAATTAAGTACCAGTACAAATATTTACCGTATGTCTTGAACTCCTTCAACGACGATGTGGATTGTGGGAATCGGTTCCCGGTTTGATAACTTCAACGGATTGAGGTTACTCACTTTAGGAATCCAAGTGTCTTCCCTCTAAACGTATCCACCCTATGAAGCCCGGTTCCGACGACCTTCCTTCGCTAGTAGGAATGTCTCGGTTTTCTTGTATAGGAATATGTATGAATTTTATTTTGGGAAATTTCAAGAACTCTTTCTTGATGTTTATGAAGAACTATTCTTCTTTCTAACACTTAGAAATTTTAGGAATGAATTTCCCTTAAATGCAAAACCATTTTGCATCTATTTATACTAAACATTTTAGCATAAAATAATCAACATTTAGTAATATTTAAATAAAATCAGATTTTATTTAAATAATATTTACTAACTATTGACTTTGAATTTACTAACTATTGACTTTGAAAATAATAAATAATGTTAAGTGGTTCAAACCACCTTTAACCACCATTTTATTATAATCATATTTATTATTTTAATCCTTAAATCATATTTAAAGATAAAAATAATAATAGAATAATAAATCTTGAGAATCTTTTCAAGACTTTATTATTATATTCATTTTCCCAATTTACATCCATATTATAATAATCATATTATTATTATTTTGGTTTGGAAATTTAAAATCCAATTTTAAATTCCAACATATTAATTTAGTAATTACCTTAATTACTAAAGTAATATCCAAAATGTAATTAATCAATCTTATTGATTAATATATTCCTTTTAATTGATATCTAATCAAATTAGATTATGTCAATTAATTCTAACTCTTTAGAAATACAATTTTTCACCTTTGTTCATAATAGGTGTGACCTTTTAGGTTCACCTTAATACTAGTAGTGGGTTTACAACTCTTTGTAATTTGAGTTAATCACATTAACTCTTATTCATGAATTAACCCTTTAATTCAAGAACCCACATATCATGGGAACACCTAGCAAGTAGCATGAATCTAGTATTAAGTGAATAGCGAGTAAACCTATTCCGATTACAACTCCATACATGTAAAATCCTTTCGACATCTAATTTCCCGATTAAGTCTTGGGTATGATTTTGTCGAAACCCAAATTGACTTAATAACTATGATTCTATTTCAAGTTTATTAACCCTGTTATGAATCACTATTCATCTCTGCCTTGGCCAAGGACTTTGGATTAATAACTATGAAACACATAGGAAATTCACTTATCTTCATAAGTGTCGAATCCTTTATTGGCCACTAACAAACTTCCATACATATTAACATAATACCCAACTTATCCCTTTAAACGATAGTGCTAGCTACCAAAAGGATAAATCAAAGTAGAATGTAATATGCACAAAGTTACCATTGTGCCTCAAGTCTTAGGATTAGTCATGTACTATTGTAACATGAAAATTCTTATTCGACTGAATAAATTCTTCATTAAGAATTTTCATACGGTCATGTTCAGTGAACTTGTTCTCTAACAAGCACCCACATAAATGTACTTACGTCTTACGCTAATGTTGATGGAATGCAACATTCTTGTCCAACAAGCATACAAACTATGTGCAAGTCTTT